TACAAAATAACATCTTTCCCACTATAATGAGTTTTTGGTAAAATGAGATGAGATAAATGGTTTAAATCTGTATTGTGCTAAATAAGAGCAATTTATATCTTTACCCCGATTCAGTGTTATAGAGAATCATTGGCTAATCTCAGGTTTAGTCCCTAAATCCGTGGTTAGGCTAGGAGGATACTGGCTCTCACTCTAGAGCTCCCCTTCCCTTCCCTTGAAGGCTAACACTTGCTTTAGTTCTTAAAAACTAAGAAAAAATTAAGGATTTTAGTCTCTCATCCTAAAATATTCAATTCTACGATCAACAATGTATATTTCCCTATTTATTTGTACTTAATTCCATGAACAAAATACTGCTCCATGGAGTTAAATGTGATTCTCACTCCATTATATAACTTATACTCCATTTCCCAATTCATATGTTTCATAACATATTTTGACATTTCAATTGGTCAGATCAAAAAGTAAATTAAGAACGGAGTTGAAAAACCATCACAATTTATTTTATATTTAAAATTGTCACATTCAAATTATCTCTTCATTTCACAACATCTTAGAGTAGGAGAAAAATAAAGAAAACTATTCAGACTTCAAGAGAAAGATACAACAAAACACAAATTTCTTATATAAAAGAAAGTTCATACAACAATAATAAACAAACAACACTTATCTGAAACTCTTTCTCAAAGCAAATTCCTTGTAGCCTCTCTTGGACTCTTTCTCCCTTTATAATACTCTTGATTCTCTCTTTTAAGATGTAAGGAAGAAGAAATCTCTCACTTATCTCCCTCTCAAATAACACTTAAAAAAGAATTCACACTTAAACTCACCACAAAACTCAAAACTCTAAATAAATAAATGACTAATGGACTCAAAGTGGTTGGGGGGCGGAAGAGAGATATTTCTGATCAAATTTTGCTTTAAATAGAGCCTAATGTCAGTTTTTCAATAGGTGCATCCAAAAACTCTTCAAAAAGCATCCAAATTCATCGAATCTTCTAAAAATTGGTCTTACACTGACATTCGCTTAGTTGATGCCCATTCTGAGACTGACATTGGCGCGATCGGCACTAGTGGCTTGTGAATTAATTCATTGTTCTTTGTCAAATGGAGCTGTCGGCGCTTCTCCTGGCATCGTCGACATTGAGTATTTTTTCAAAAACACCATTTTAACTCCAAATTCCATCCTTTTTTATTCCTTTTTGCTTCAAGTCCTAAAAATAAAAAACCTGCAATATAACATGAAAAATACCTTCCTTTAAAGCGCAATATCATTAAAAATAAGTATAAAATATAGGTCTAAAAATATATATATTTTTTATGCATCATGGTGTCATTACTTTGGTCACTTTGGCATGGCATGGTCAATTTTGGTGCATGGGTTCAATTTGGGTTAGATTATCTTGAAGTTTTTTTTGAGTTAGGCTAGCCATGACATTGAGCCCAAATAATTGATAAATTTTGTGTGGATGATTTTTATGAGGGGTTTATAACAGATTTGGTGTGTTTTTGAATTGATTTGGAGGTTCAATTTGAGGGATTTTGGGCATTTGATCTATTTGGGGATGTTGGGTTAGACTTGGGTTTAGGTTAGGTTAGAGTTGGCTTAAGTTCAAATTGAGAATTCAAAATGGTCTAGAGGAATGTTATGAAGAGTTATCAACATTAATTTGGAGCCAATTTTAGGAGTTGGGCATTCAATTTGGTGGAATTTTGACACATGGCTAAATTGGGGCAAATTTAGGAATTTTGGATTTGGGTTGAAATTGTGTGAAATTGAAGCTTGAAGAAGGTTAAATGGGGGTTTAATTTGGTGTGTGGAGATGTTTCAAAGAGTTTATAATGCATAGTTAGGGCAATTGGGAAGATTTACGGGTTCAATTGTGTGGGATTTTGGTTTTAGGCCAAATTGGGGCTTTTTGATTTGGGTTAAAATTGGACTCAAATTTAGGTCAATTGGACCTGGATTTTATTTGAATTGAGTTTTATCATGATGAATTTTAATTTAGAATTGAAATTGGGCGGAAATTGGGGTCAAATTTATGGACATCTAGGGTGAATTTGGGAAAATTGAGCGTTTAAGAGCAATTTGGGGCTTTTGGTCAAAGTTGGTCAAATTAATCAAATTAGGTTTAATTGAAGGTCCCAATTGGTTTTAGGGACATTTGAGATCATTTTGAGGGTTTTGGGAAAGTTTGGGCCACTATGGGTATTTTTGTAATTTTGACAAATTAAATGGTACATTGACAATTTTGGCAAATTTGGGAAGTTTTGGGCAAACAAATTAAATGGTACTTTGACAATTTTGGCAAATTTGGGAAGTTTTGGGCAATTTAGGTAGTTTCAAATGGTTTGAGATGATTTTTGGACAAACTTGGGTAGTTTGGGTATTTTTTATAATTTTATTCAAATTTGGGGTTTGGGGGTATTTTAGTAAGTTGGGTAGATTTTGGGGCAAAAGGCTAAGTTTGGTATTTTGGTGAAAGTGGGGTGCCAACCACCTTTATTGAGCCATAGACCAATGGAATCTCCATTTGGGTCCTCTATGTATTGGTCATGGCTAGACACTAGCCTAGGGTTAGTGGCTCTAGGGGACCATCTACATGAGTTTTCCAAAAGTTCAAGGGATCAAATTCAACAAGCTTGGGTTTAGGGTTGTGAGTGAATGTGAGTGAAAGTAAGTGTAAGTGAGTAGACTAGCTTTAGACCAGCACCCAGGGTCAACCCGCGGGCCAATCCTATGGGGACACCTCTTGAGCTCCCCCATATTGACCCCACCTACCAAGTGCTAGAGGTCATGACCAATATGTGGAACTTCAAGTTGAGCAGAGAAGAGTTTAGAATTTCTAATGGTGAGGGTTCTTTTCTAGTCCTCTAGGAATAGTCAACAAAAAAGTCCTATGGCTACACTCTAGGCTACTAAAGAGGAAAAACTGGTCCTCAACCAAAGTGAGGTCAACAAATGGACCCCTAATATGTGTGGTGTGCCAAACAAGCACATTGCACGTATTTGCGTTGACCGATGAGATGAACAAAACCAACACAAGCTTCTAAGTCAATAAACCTAGAATGAAGTGTGGAATTGAGTGACAGTTGTTTCTACTATGGAGTAAAAGATACTCTCGATGGGGGAAAAGAAAGTAGGTTTCAGGGGCAATCTTCAGGCAAACTGGTAGTCCTAACGAAAACTCGATTCAAATTTAATATATCAAAGAAAGTTTGGATTTTAATTTAAAATTTTAAGAAAGTAAAATTATGCACAAGGAAACAGGATTGAGTGGAAAACACAAGCGCAAAAAAAGGGAATAGGGCGTCAGGGCCTACACCAAAAGTGAGGATGGGAATAGGACGTCTAAGCCTACTCTGAAGGTGGAGATGGGAATAGGACGTCTGAGCCTACTCCAAATGCAAAGATGGGAATAGGGCGTCTAAGACTACCCCAAAAACATAATCATGGGAATAGAGCATCCAAGCCTACTCCGATGGTGGAGATGGGAATAGGACGTCTGAGCCTAACTCGAAAGTAAGTATGGGAATATGATGTGTAAGCCTGCCCCGAAAGTGAGGATGGAAATAGGACGTCTAAGCCTACCCCAAATGTGAGTATGGGAATAAGACGTTTAGCCTACCCCAAATGTGAGGATGGGAATAGGATGTCTAAGCCTACCCGATAGTAAGGATAGGAATATGACGTCTAAGCCTGCCCCAAAAGTGCGGATGGGAATAGGATGTCTAAGCCTACCCTGAAAGTGCAGATGGGAATAGGATGTTTAAGCCTACCTCTAATGTGAGGATGGGAATGGCTTTAAAGCCTACCCTGATGTTAAGAATGAGAATAGAATGTCTAAGCCTACCCTAAAGGTGGAGATGGGAATAAGACGTCTGAGTCTACCCCGAAGGTGGAGATGGGAATAGTGCGTCCAAGCCTACTCTGATGGTGGAGATGAAAATAGGACGTCTGAGCAAACCCCAAAAGTCAGGATGAGAATATGAACTCTAAACCTATCTTGAAGGTGTAAATGGGAATGAGATATTTAACCCTCCCCCGAAAATAAGGATGGGAATAGGACGTCTAAGCCTAACCCAAAGATGTAAATGAGAATAGGACGTCTAAGCCTACCCATAAAGTGTAGATAAGAATAGAACGTCTAAGCCTACCCCAAAAGTGTAGATGGGAATAGGACGTCTAAGCCTACCCCAAAAGTGTAAAGATGGGAGTAGGGAGTCAAAGCCTACTCTGAAAGTGTAGAGATGGGAATAGGACATCTAAGCCTACCCCAAAACTGTAAAGATGGGAATAGGGCATCAAAGCCTACTCCAAAAGTGAAAAGATGGGAATATGACGTTTAAGCCTACCTTGAAAGTAAGGAAAAGTAGTGGAGCAGAAAGATTGAAGAAATCTGTGAGGCGTAAAACACTATGTGAGAATGTGGAGGAGTTGATGTAGACAAGGATAGTCATGCTACACAAGCAAAGAGAAAGAAACCTTGAACTCGAGAGAAACATATTCAAGAAAATTCATTTTCTTTTCTTATTGTCTTTATCAAATTTAATTATCAAAATATGTTTTCAAAATTTAATTTTTGTTGGTTGATTTTTTCAAAAGGATATTTTATTTAAATTTTTTTATCATCAATTTTTTTATTGTTTTGTTTTTTGTTCATCGTAATTTAGAACCAACGTATGGTTTTGCGGCTTTTTATCCATCGCACAAAAGGGCAATTTGATAAATATGTTGAAATCTGAAAGAAAACTTCATTAATATGCTTCAAACAGATATTATAGACTGAGTACATGCTGAAAGCATTAAAAGAGCCAATCATGTTGAATACATCTGAAACATCATATGCTGAGTACATATCATATATGCTGCTCTGACGCAGTACAAAATGTGAAAAAAAGCTGTTTGTCTGTCCTCTGTGGGATGAGCTCCTGATCAAGCTAACCTACTAAGCCACACTCTAGGGCAAGAATTTCTCTTTACGTGTTATTAGAGGTACAATCATCTAATAGCTCGTATGACTGTGGTTCCTTCAATTCTGGATATAATCGGAATCCATATGGCATCTTGTTGTCATCCATCCTTCTCAATGTAATGGAAACTCTGTGTCGTGGCAATCCAGGGATGCAGTGCTTTGCTAGATCGGCTCTGTTTCCCTTCAAAATTAGTACCGAACATATCGACAGCGGAATTGCAACTGATCCTCTAAACTCTTTGGGTCCGACAACATCGATTTCTTTTCCGAACAAAATGTCGCTTTTACTCATGAATGAGACTGTTCAGAAATGTTTGACAAAATTGTGCTGATCTATATGTGAGGGAATGTTGTCTCCCTCTTCATAAATGTTGATCATACAACTGTTTGGAATGCAGTTCGTTTGCAGCATGCTCCATTTGACCACCCTTTTTATCATCCACTTTATTGTGGGAGGCAATGTATCCACCTTGTCGTGTCTGAAGATCGCCGGGAGGTTCCCTTACCTATTCCTGGTGAAATTCTAGCAACAACCACATTGGATGGTTATCCTGCCTTTTTGACGCATCCACTTATGTGGTGTTGAATAAGTTCTTTCCATTAGAAAACCACCTCGACCTCTGTCTCTCAGATCGAATACGTAGTCAAGAATGCTTCTTTCTTCACTTTCAGAAAAGACACTGGTGTACAACTCCAGACCTTCCAGTATATTGACAAAATTTCCCTAAATTTCTTTGTAGAATTTAAATTCTCTCATCTTTAAGTTGCTCATCTTATCCAATTCTGCCATGGTAACCCTCTACGACCGTCGAGGCCACTCCCTCACTTCAATACCCGTAGGAATCTATGCCTGTGCTGTCTCTGTATCCAATGAGATGTATGATTCTCCAATCTAGCACTCGATAGTCTGAAATCCACTGTCTGTAGATGTGTACTCCTCCAGAGTGCTATAACGCTCTAAGTGGAGGACGTTACATTCTGGTCATTCCACAAATGCTCCTATGTCTGGTGTTTGTCTGGGGATCTTGGAGTTGCACATCAGGCAACCTGCACAAAGCTCATCTGAAATTACCAGTAATGTCGACTTTATAGCAAACTTGGACTCGTCCTCTATGGTAGGCAAACGAAGGAAGTCTATCTCATGCAAGGATCATAGATTTTCCCCTCAGGAATTGGGGTCAGTAAGTTTTTTCCCTCTTCCAGACATCTCTTTTCTTCCTTAAGAAGGCTCTGTGCTTCCGACGATTAGCTTTTGGATGTTGTGTTTTTCTAAGTGGTGCATCCAGCATTCTCTCATCATTAACACTAACTAGTTGTCCTATTAACATAATTATCTTGGACGGTAGGCGACTAGTCCCTTCCATCGAGTTTTGCTACGCTATCATTTTCTTTCTCTTCAGCGAGGAATCCTCTTTAGTGTTGATATTTAACAGCGACAATAGCCCTTCTTTCTCTCGATGACTGACCACATTAGGGGACCCTCATAGTCCACGTCGACTTGACCAAAGTTCAAGTCAAATTCTATGATGCCACCTTGAGATGCCCTTTCCTTGTTAAGTGCAAGATTCCAGCCATCCTTGAAAGCAAAGATCAGCTTCTATTCTGAATTTTTTTTTGCAGATGATAGAAAAAACATCAGTGCATTGAAATTTAGCAGGAACAAGAACAAAACATAACATATTTTTTTTGCAGATGATAGAAAAAACATCAGTGCGTTGAAATTTAGCGGGAACAAGAACAAAAAAAAACATTTATTAGAAGAATTTCTGTTTACATTTATTAGACAGAATTTTCATTTACACGGATGCGAAGATTATATATATATATATATATATATATATTATAGAGATGGGAGCAGCGATGTTTAGGGTTAGCTCTGGCATGCATGGAGATTTTGGCTTCCTACTTTTGCTGGTGAGATCCTTCCTTCGTACCTCATTACTTGGACACTTACTTTTTGCTATACCTCTGATTCCTTATTCATTTGTTGAAGCTATATTAGGTGGGGGGTGGTTCAGTCACTCCTTCCACAGAGTTGTTTCTACAAGGTTTTCACGACACTCTTAATGTCATAGGGGATTACACTTTCATTAAGAAATTGGGGAAAAAGAATGGTAAACTTGCGCTATTTGTCTATGAAGATGAAACTTTTATTCTTGCCTCCTCATTTCGTTTGGCTCTAGTTGGTAAATTTACTTATGACATACCTAAATTTGGGATAATTAGGAGAGAATTTGAAATGTTAAAGTTGAAAGGATGGTGGAAGGTTAGCATTATTGATGCTAAACATATCTTTGTACAATTAGATAATGATGAGGACTATACACGTCATTTTACAAAAAGGTTCATCTGGATTGAAAATAGCTTGATGAAATTTAGAAAATGGACTACTCACTTTGATCCTAAATCTGAGTTGCCTATTATACCGATTTGGATTCATTTTCTAGGGCTTAAACTACACCTTTTCAGCATAAAATTATTTTCTGGCTTGCTGCTGCCCACGGTAAGCCTTTGAAAATGGATCATGATACATTTACTTTATCAAGACCCTCTGAAGCACGTATTTTGGTTAAACGTGATGTAACACAACCATTCTGCAATGAAATTTGGATAGGATTGCAACATCAAGGTTACTGACAGACTGTTGAAATTGAACGACATTCTCCTTACTGTACTCACTGTTCTATGTTTGGTCATCAAACCTCATCTTGTTTTTGATTGAATCCTCAGCTAAAAAATTCACATAACATCAGAGACACTACTTTACCTGCTATTAACATAAATATTGAATCTCATGCTATCCCACCTACAATTGAAAATGACGTTGAATTAGTTGATAACCCTGTTACTATTTCTGTTCCTCCTACCTCACACAATTTAGGAGATGAAGTTTTACATAATTGCACTGATGATTATCCTACTCTTTTCCAAAATCGTGAAGGTACTAAATCCTTGCAAAATTGCACCAAGGTTAACCCTCATCCTATGCATGCTCATGATGGTATGGCTTTAGCTGAAAACTCGGATGTGCATCTTACTAGCGTGACTTATGAGGAGCCTGCAAAAATATTTTAACGGTTCATAATGTTACAGATACTGGAAATTTATCTCCTTCTAGGACTCTCCACTCTCTTATTGCTAGAGCTGCTTCTGGTACTGTTGATTTGAATTCTACTTTATCTAATGCAGGTATAATTTTGGAAAATAAAAGGCAGGTGCGAAAGCATTCTAGCAAAAAGGCTAAACGTAATAATGAGCTAACTATACTCAATGCAAGTAACATTATACATGAAGGAATCTATCACTCTGATGGGGAACAGTTGGTCAACCCTACTAGATCTTCTAGGAGGGTCGGCTCACGTCATCATGTTTAACATTATGGTTTAGAATATTAGGAGAGTGGCATACCCTAACTCCCTTAATAGGCTCAAAAATTTATGTAGGGTCCATAAATTACTCATTTTTGCTATTTTGGAGCCTTGGGTACAGGTAAATAAAAGCAAAATTTTGAAAAAAATTCAAAGGTTATCGCTCTCACTACAATGTCAATAATAAATTTTTTCGGAAGCTGTTGTTACACTTTCTATTATTGAAGATGAGGATCAATATATTCTTACTCAAATTAGTTATGATGATTTCCAAGGGTGGGGCACTTTTGTTTATTCTAGCTCTTATTTAAATGATAAACATCTTCTTTGGAAAAAAATTCAAACTATGGACAGCATTATTAGTGAGAATTGATTTTTTGGTGGAAAATTTAATATGATCATGAAGCCTATGGAATGAAAAGGTGGTGGTAGAGTTGAGCCTGCTCTTATTAATGGATTTTCTAATTCCATTTCTAATGCAGGTCTACACGACTTGCGTTACTCTGGATCTCCTTATACTTGAAGGAGAGGTTTTCTGTATCAGAGATTGGATTAGTTTTTGGTTAATTCTGCTTTTATAAGTTACTTTCCTTTTGTGAAGGTGCAGCATTTGAGTCATGTTACATCTGATCATAATCTTATTATGCTCACTTTCGCTTTTACTATTAAATCGACCAAATCTCGTTTTAAATTTTTAAATGTTTGGACTTCTCATGATACTTATCTTAATTTGGTGAAGCAAGCTTGGAAATTTGAGATAGTCGAGACTCCTTGGTTTGTATTGTGGAAATTGCATAAGAAGAAGGTGGCTCATTTTAATAAATGGAATTACCAGATCTATGACAATGTCCATAAAAAAGTACTAGATGCTAAGAACATTGTTGATTCTCTGGAAGCTCAGCTTGATGCTTCTTGTGGTTTGGTGGACACTATTGCTCAGGCTCATATTGCTCTAATGGATACTATTGTTGTTGAGGAAAATTTGCTTAATTAGAAAGCTATTGATTCTTACGTTGTTGCAGGGGATAGAAATACAAAATATTTCCATGCGACTCTTAAGCATAAAAGAAACATCAATAGTATTTTGAAAATTAAAAATAGTGATGGGAGTATTTTAACTTGTATGGAAGAAATTGGAGATAATGTTGTCACTTATTTGACTGAGCTTTTTCAATCCTCTAATGCTACTATGCCTGTTGACCACACTCACTTTGTAGATGAGTACACTTATATTAATAATCTTAATTTGACTTATCTTCCAGATGAGCGGGAAATCCTTAATGCTTTTAAAGCTATCTGCCCCAATAAAGCTCTTGGACCTGATGGTTTTTCTTCGGCTTTCTATATCCATTCTTGGGAGGTTATCAAGAAGGAGGTAATTCTTTCCATACAAAGCTTCATCCTTGGAGACAATCCTGATAAATATTTCACCTCTTCTTCGATTGTGCTTATCCCTAAAGGTAATGATAGGATATCCTGGGACAATTTTTGTCCTCTTTCTCTAACCACTGTGACATCTAAAGTTATGAGTAAAATTATAGTGAACAGATTGAAGCCTCGTCTTTCCAAAATCTTTTCTGCACTACAGTCTGATTTTATTAAAGGTAGGGATATTAATGATAACATCCTTTTAGCATAGGAGATTATTAAAGAATTGGACAAGAAATGCAGGGGAGGAAACATGGTCCTCAAATTAGACATTAAGAAAGCTTTTGATACTATAAGCTGGGATTTTATTATAAATATTTTGCAGGCTAAAGGCTTTCCAGGCTAAAGGCTTTCAACTTTCAACAGGACTTCTGCTCTCTTATTTAGAGGTGGCTCTCTAATAATAGCTACAATGTGATGGTTAATGATAAAGCTCAAGGTTTCTTTAATGCTAATTGGGGCATTAAACAAGGTGACCACCTCTCACCCACTATTT